ATGAGTGAAGGGTTAAGTGTTGAATGATGATGAAAGTATTTTTCTTTCTTTTTGGGTCACTCTGCCTTGGTGGGGAAAAAAAAAAAAAAAGTTTGAGTATGTACACCAAGTAAGGTGTATGGTAGGGTTATTATTAAGAGAATTAGAGGTAAGATAGAAAGTAGGATTGCAGATGAGCAAGGAGGCTGTAGAGTGGGTAGGGGATGTGTAGACCAAGTGTTTATATTGAAGCCTATGTGTGAACAATACTTAGATAAAGGTAGGGGAGTTTTCATTGCATTTATGGATTTGGAAAAGACATATGATAGTGGATAGGGAAGCAATGTGGCAGATGTTGCAAGTGTATGGAATAGGTAGTAAGCTACTAAATGCTGTAAAGTTTTTTTATGAGGATAGTGAGGCTCAGGTAGTAGATTGGCAGACAGCAACCGCCCAGGGAGGTACTACCGTTCTGCCAAGTGAGTGTAAAACGAAAGCCTGTAATTGTTTTACATGATGGTAGGATTGCTGGTGTCTTTTGTCTGTCTCATAAATATGCAAGATTACAGGTATGTCTTGCTACTTCTACTTACACTTAGGTCACACTACACATACATGTACAAGCATATATATACACACCCCTCTGGGTTTTCTTCTATTTTCTTTCTAGTTCTTGTTCTTGTTTATTTCCTCTTACCTCCATGGGGAAGTGGAACAGAATTCTTCCTCCGTAAGCCATGTGTGTTGTAAGAGGCGACTAAAATGCCAGGAGCAGGGGATAGCAACCCCTTCTCCTGTATAAATTACTAAATTTTAAAAGAGAAACTTTCGTTTTTCTTTTTGGGCCACCCTACCTCGATGGGATACAGCCGGTTTGTTGAAAGAAGAAGTGAGACTCAGGTTAGGAAGTGCAGGAGAGAGGGAGATTACTTCCCAGTAAAAGTAGGTCTTAGACAGGGATGTGTAATGTCACCATAGTTGTTTAAAATATTTATAAACAGAGTAGTAAAAGAAGTAAATGCTAGGGTGTTGGAAAGAGGGGTGGGATTAAATTATGGGGAATTAAATACAAAATGGGAGCTGACACAGTTACCTTTTGCTGATGATACTGTGCTTTTCAGAGGTTCTGAAGAAAAGTTGCAAAGGTTAGTGGATGAGTTTCGGAGGGCGTTTAACCCTTTCAGGGTCGACAGCCCCTTTCCTAAACTTGTTCTCAGGGTCAAAAATTTTTCAGGAAAAAAAAAAAAAATTATTTTTTCTTATGAAATGATAGAGAATCTTTTACCAATCAAAATGACACCTCAAGTATGCAATTTGATGGAAAACTTACGGAATTATGCTCTTGCGAAGTTAGCTGTCTTAACCCTTTGACTGTCGCAACCCCCAATCCTGAGGTGTCTCCTGGTGTCACAAAATTTAAAAAAAAAAAAAATATTTTTTCTTATGAAATGATAGAGAATCTTTTCCCGATTGTAATGACACCAAAAAAAATGAAATTTGATGGAAAACTGATGGAATTATGCTCTCGCGAAGTTAGCGACCTCAGCGCTGTTTACAAATCGGCGATTTCGCGCACTTTGAGCCCTATTTTCGGCTAATTCCATTGTTCCAGTCGCCCAAACTCATAGCTATTTCTTTAAAACTCCATTTTTTCTATCGATTGAATACAAGAAACTGCCCATTTACCGATTTCAACTACCTAATAATGTGGTCAGAAATTTGCAATTTGGCCAATTTCACAAAAACTAAAAAATATGACAATTTCAAAATAAGGTCCAGAATGAACAATGCAGACATTCCTGGCTCTAAAATAACATTTTCTTTGCTCATCAGTCATGTCTCCAGGCCCCTCTGATATTACTCTTGCTTTCTATTTTGAATTTTTATTCAAACAAAAAATAGAAGACTTACTATTATGCAGACTACTGCAATACTGTAATAATTGTATAAATAACATCAATCCATTCATGACTGCATATTAGAATGGCTAGTTGGACATTTATTGGACAACGGCATCATTTGTTTACTTTTGAACATTGGCAAAAATCCAACATTTCCCCTACTTTGAGCTCCATTTCTAGGTTCTTTTTATAGTAAAATCAATCAAAATCACCTCTATTTCTATAATATGTTTTCCATTCTATCAAATGAGACCAAGAAAACGAGAATACAACCATAAATACTATACGAAAATAGACCACAAAGTCAGCATTTTAATTAAAAAATGGTCGGAGTTTTTTTTTTCTCATTATGCACTGTGTGCTCCAGGATTTTTTTATATGGTGCACACTGACCACACAGACCCATTCTCTCACATGTGGGCCTACCAGCTTTCTCCTGCATGATTTGAAGCCGCTAGAATTTATGAGTATATATACGTCAAACACTGTACCTTGTAAGACGTAAATATACGGCCGTGACAGTCAAAGGGTTAAAGACTTTTATGCATCGTCGATTTCACCCACTTTGAGCCCTATTTTCGGTCAATTCCTGTGTACTAGTTGACAAAAATCATGTTTATTTAGTTAGAACTCCATTTTTTCTATCGAATGAGTACAAGAAACCACCCATCTACCAATTTCAACTATCCAATAAAGTGGTTAGAAGTTGGCAATTTTGCCAATTTCACACAAATTTCAGATGATGCCAATTTCCAAATAGGGCCCAGAATAAACAAGACAGACATTCCTGGCACTAAAATAGCAAGTTCTCTGTTCGTTAGTTACGTCCCCAGGCCCCTCTTACATCTCTTTTGCTTTCACTTTGAAATTTTATTCTCACAAAAAATAAAAGATTTACTGTTATGCAGACTACTATTTAGTGTAGAAATGGTATAAATAATATCAGCGCACTTGTGAAAGAATATTAGACTCACCAGTTGACGTGTATTGGACGCGCGGCATGATTTGTTTACTTTTGAACTTTGGTAAAAATCGAACATTTCTGCTACTTTGAGCTAAATTTCAAGGTACTTTTCACTGTGAAACCAATCAAAATCATATCAATTTCTGTAATATGTCTTCCATTCTATAAAATGAGACCAGGAAAACCAGAATACAACCATAAATACCATACGAAAATACAATGCAAAGTCGCTGTTTTAATCCAAAAACACGGTCAAAGTTTTTTTTTTTTCCCCGTTCTGCACTGTGTGCTGCAGGATTTTTTTTATACTGTGCACACTGACCACATAGACCCATTCTTTCATATGTAGGCCTACCAGCTTTCTCTCGCTAGATCTGAAGGAGCTAGAATTTAGGCGTTCTAGTACGTCAATAACCCTGGTGCGTAAGCCATACTAGTACGTCGGAAACCCTGAAAGGGTTAAAGGTAGAAAGTTGAAAGTGAACATAGATGAGAGTAAGGTCATGAGGGTATCAAACAATTTACATAAAGAAAAATTGGATATCACACTGGGCAGAGGGATTATGGAAGAAGTGAATGTTTTCAGATATATGTATTTGGAAGTTGATTTGTCAGCAGATGGGTTTATGAAAGATGAGGTTAACCATAGAATTGATAAAAGAAAAAAGGTGAGTGGTGTATTGAGATACCTGCGGAGACAAAAAAACGTTATCCATGGAGGCAAAGAAGGGAATGCATGAAAGTATAGTGGCACCAACACTCTTATATGGGTGTGAAGCTTGGGCTGTAAATGCTGCAGCAAGGAGGAGGCTGGAGGGAGTGGAGATGTCGTTTCTAAGGGCAATGCGTGGTGTAAATATTATGCAGAGAATTCGTAGTGTGGAAATTAGTAGAAGGTGTGGAGTTACTATAAGTATTAATGAGAGTGCTGAAGAGGGGCTGTTGAGGGGGTTTGGTCATTTAGAAAGAATGGAACACAGTAGAATGTCTTGAGAGCGTATAAATCTGTAGGAGAAGGAAGGCAGGGTAGGGGTCGTCCTTGAAAAGGTTGGAGGGAGGGAGTAGAGGAGGTTTTGTGGGCGAGGGGTATGGACTTTCAACATGCATACGTGAGCGTGTTAGATAGGAGTGAATGGAGACGAATGGTGTTTGGGACCTGATGAGCTGTTGGAGTGTGAGCAGGGTAATATTTTGTGAAGGGATTAAGGGAAACTGGTTAGCTGGAAATGGGAAGTACAATGCCTGCACTTTAAAGGAGGGGTTTGGGATATTGGCAGTTTAGAGGGACTTCTAAACTGACATATCGCAGCCTCTGCAAAGACGGTGATTATGTAAGAGTGTTGAACGACGATGAAAGTATTTTTTTTTGTCTTTCTTTTTGGGTCACCCTGGCTTGGTGGGAAATGGCCAATGTTAAAAGAAAAAAAAAGCACATAAAAGAGAACAGAGGAGATGGAATCTTTCTTTCAACACACCGGCCATATCCCACCAAGGCAGGGTGGCCCAAAAAGAAAAACGAAAGTTTCTCTTTTAAATTTAGTAATTTATACAGAAGAAGGGGTTACTTGCCCCTTGTTCCCGGTATTTTAGTCGCCTCTTACAACACGCATGGTTTACGGAGGAAGAATTCTGTTCCACTTCCCCATGGATTAGGAGATGGAATAGCCCCACAAAAACGATCAGTTTAAGGGTTTAATTTACCTCATTTGCTTATTTTATTTTTGCTTCTTATATGCCAATAATACTTAATATATTTTATTTAGAAATCATCTATTAAGCAATTTTTCTTATTTTTACCTTGTTCTTTATGCTGTCTACAGCAGAAAAACAAAACAGTAAGCCATACTCAGGCATCAACAGTAAAACCTAGCCTAAAATCAAGTTACCTAAACAGAAAACTAAAACCCAGCCACAGGTGAAGCTACCACAAGGCTTCTCTTCCTGACCTAAAATTCTGATGATGTTTCACACAAATGTAATACTCTGCTTAATCTCCCCCCCCCCCTTTTTTTTTTTGCCAAGTCAGTTACTTTTTCTAAGATTCAACAATAGTTTGCACTAAATACACTTCCTAGAGCCCAAGACCCATGACTAAACCTAATCTTCGCTAAAAGACTAAGCTCACATTCTAAGATTCTGCAGTGACCCTTACTCACCATGCATGAACTCAAAAAGTTTGTTGATGACAGTCTTCAGGAAGCGCCAGTGTATGCGAAGGAATCTGGGATACTGTCCAACAATGTACATAATATTTGAGGCAATGATTGCTTTGTTATCCTTGCCTCTTTTCTGCTCACAAAGACCCAGCAAATCCTTGATCACAATCACCAAGAAACGCTTTTCATCTTCTTCTGGCATGGCTCCACTAATGGATCCTACAGCCCAACACAGGGTGTTTAGATTTCGCCAAGACCACTCACTGCCGTTAACCTAAAAAAATAAGGGGTGGGGGGGAGGGGCATTACCATACTGATTGTGAATTTTAGGAAATTCCTTCTCATTTTTTTTTTTTTTTTTGCAATTAATGCAACACATCTTCACAGATTATCAAGAATACTTTATTATTAATGTTACTCCACCAGCTTTAACAACACTTCCTGAATTCATTCATTCAACTGTCTGCTTCATATTCAAGCTCCTTGCATTACATTAATTAACATGATAGTAAATATAACTAGCAGAAGTAAACAATCTACAAGTGCCTATTTTCTGGCCTTGCTCCACTAAATGCTATCTCTATAATAATTATGGGTCATATCTCTTACTAGATAACAATTATATCCACTATTAATTTGCTTCCTAATGCAATATCCTGCATCCACTATGTGTCCCACTCTCCCTTTACAAACTGATCACTAATACATGCACACTATTTTCACTACTTAGAGTCCCTCTGATTAAATTTTGAAAAATTTCTATTCTAGCAGAATAAACACTTGGCATATCCAGAAACACAAAATAAATTCTCCAAATTTTCACCAGACACACTATTCAAATTCAACACCATATATTGCCATAACACATACATCACAAAATTTAATTATAGTATAGGCATTAAAAATATCCTTTAAAAATGAAAGTAAATACTTAAAAAAAAAAAAATAGGAAGTAGGTAACATTCTTTAAGTCTTACAAAGTGACATCAAACAAGAGTACGTCTTAAATTTGTAAAGACACTATTTTAAAGTTTCCTCTATCAGTGAAGAAGAAATAAGAGATATACTTTTGCAAATAATATGCCTAGTTCGTCTTGGCAAACACCAAACTCGCCATATTTCCCTTACACACATCCACTGATGGAGGAAGGAGGGAGGGAGAAAGAAGACAGTAAGGGATGAGGAATAACAAGACAAAAACAGGCAAAAACGACACACACACAATACACAAATTATACACAGTGGGGGTGATGATTCTAACAGTATGCAAAACCTGACCAAGTGATAAAATGTGTTCTGAATAAGGCAAAATCATACATAGGCATATAGTGCACAAGTTTAGGGAAAGTACCACTATTCATATCTGTACAGTCATTTCTTCTTACAGATTTAAATTGTAAGGATGTCAACTGTTCTGACGGTGATATAAGCAACTTGGTAATACTGACACTTCTACGTACCTGATTGGCAAGTTTTTCTGTCATGATGCGTTCTGTGTCAGCGTAGTCCAAATGAGTGAGGTAAACAAGTGTTTCACGCATATTCTTGTACATATTAATAGAGTCTGTATCACGCATGAACTCTCTTACTACTTCACCTTGCTCGTTTTCAACCACCAAAACCTCCTCAGGTTTGGCCATCCGACTGATCATCAAGGCTCTCACCTGTAAATGTTAACATCCTTGAATATCAAATATGCATGCTACAGAGAAAGTATCAGATCTCACTAAATACAAAAGAATAACATTGTGTATACTGTGCTTGAGCAAGTACAACCATTCTTCTTTTATAAAAACAAAGGTATGGATTAAATTTTCTAAAGATCATATACAGTCCCACAAGGATCTGTATTGGCCAATACTGTACCTGTGTGTGTTTTAAAGGGCTTTTCCATCCTACCACTCTGGGATTTGGTCAAGATTCCTTGAAGAGTGCCTGTTCAACCAGGCTGTTACTGTTAGTGGCCTACCAGCCTGCAGCATGGTTGACCTGACACTTGGAAGAGGTTCTAACAATATTCTTGATCTCTGCTGACAGCAGCTTTGTGTCTCTTGGACTCATAGATGCTGGCTATTTTATCTCATAGTACCCATGACACCCCTGTATTCACTTGAACTATTTCATACTTTCTTCCATCTCTCTCACTCCAGTACATTATGGTAGTATAGATTTGGGCCTAAACTCTAATATTTTTCAAGTACATATTATCAGGCAAGTCTCTTCTTTGCTTCAGAAAATGAATTCCAAGTACACGGCTTTGGGGCACCCCCAGTAAGTTTAATTATAATAAAAAAGAAGCGCTAAACCACAAGGATTATACAGTGCAGCGGGGCAGGGAACGATGCAGGGGTAATGGGTAGCAAGAGGGAGAGGGATGATTATTAGGTTATGGAGTGCAGCAGGGCAGTGGATAGTGCAGGGATAGAGGGTAGCTAGAGATTAAGGTAGATTATTATCATTATAATAAAAAAGAAGTGCTAAACCACAAGGGCTATACAGCACTGCAGAGCAGGGAAGGATGTGAGGGTATCGGGTAGCAAGAGGGAGAGGGATGATTAGTAGGTTATGGAGTACAGCAGGGCAGTGGATAGTGCTGGGGTAGAGGGTAGCAAGAGATTGAGGTAGAAAGGACTGAGGGAAGTACTAAAGGTATCATCATCAGAGTTTGTGGAGTAAATCAGTTGCTGTCAAAAAGTCAATGAGAGAGTCTGGATTAAAGAAGGGTCCATCAGCAAGAAGGGAAGGTAAAAAGAGCAGCACAGCAGAGATGACGGAGGTAAATTCTACGTGCTTGTTGATAGACTGGAACCTGACAATTCTCAGAGAGGAACAAGGCGCCTCTCCATGAGATACCCGTGAGTAAGAAGAGTGTGGACAATGCGAAGACGGGAGAGAGTAGTCTCCCAACCTCGACATTGATGACAAGAAGACAGCCAGTAACCTATGCTCGGTTTAATAAAATGAAGTTTGTTATAGAGTACATCAGACCAATGTTGTTGCCAACAGGTGCAAAGGTGGGTAGCAATTACAGCAAAATAGTCTGTGAATGGAACACCTCTATATGAAGCTGGGAGGAGATTAAGGTAGAAAGGACTGAGGAGACTGCTAGAGGCATCATCATCAGTGATTGTGTAGTAAATCAATTGCGGTCAAAAAGTCACTGAGAGAGTCTGGGTTCCAATAGTTTAAATGGTTTGTTGCAATCGTGTTATGATGTTGCGAGTCACTAACCTGTCTTGAATGAAGTTGAAAATAGGCATGTAAATAGTGTCATCACTGGCATTATTTTTTTTAAAGCTCCTTATTATCCATTCTGCACTTTTACTTTCCTTTGCTGCATTTGCTTTACAGTGTTCTCTTATCCCTTAAACTGTCCAAACGTAGATCTACATTTTTTCAACATTTGAAAGTACATATGTAAAAAACAGTTTTTTTTTTTTTTACATGTGAAAGCATGTTAAAAAAAAACTTTGATCTAACTTTTTTATATTTGAAAAAAAAAAAAAAAAAAAAAAAGTAGCTCTACTTTTGGAACACTACACATGTGAACAGAGATCTATGTTTGGACAGATTAACCCTTAAATGGTCCAAACGTATATATACGTTTTTTCAACATCTGAATGTAGAAAAATGTAATCTTCTTTTTTGTTTTACATTTGAAAACGTGTAAAAAAACTTTTATCTACATTTTTTTTTGTTATATTTGAAAATATGTAAAAAAAAAAAGTAGATCTACTTTTGTAGCACTACGAATTTGAACGTCGATTTCTTTGGACCGTTTAAGGGTTAAGGGTTAATGACATATCTGGCATTATTACTAAGTCTTTTACCTATTTCTTAGGTTCCATGAAATGTCTGTTTTTATTATTTGCTTTAGTTTTTTTTTTTTTCTTATTTTTAACCTTTTGACTATTTTGGTAGTACAGTGGTCCCCCGCTTTTCGTAGTTCCCGGCAATCGTAAATTTCGCCAATCATAGGGGTATTTTCGTATAAACATGGACTCGCTTTTCATAGGCTGACTCGCGAGTCGTAGTTCATCCGGGACGCGTACCCACGGCATGAGACGGGGCGGCAGCCAGTCTATCATTGTTTACCAGTGAGTGAAGGTCCCCTCACGTGCTCCAGCGAAATATTTTATAATATTCCATTTATTTTAGGGCTTGCAAGTACTAAATAAGCTACCATGGCTCCAAAGAAAGCTCCTAGTGCCAAGCCTGTGGTAAAGAAGGTGAGAAATACAATTGAATTTAAGAAAACCATCATTGAACAATATGAAAGTGGTACAAGTGTGGCCGAACTGTCCAGGATGTATAAGAAACCCTACACAACCTTGTGTTCCACAGTGGCCAAGAAAAAGGAAATAAAGGACGCTGTTGTTGCAAAGGGAGTAACTATGCTGACAAAAATGAGATCACCAGTACTGGAAGAGGTTGAGAAGTTATTATTGGTGTGGATAAATGAGAAACAATTAGCAGGAGATACTCTCATGACTTCGATTATTTGTGAAAAGGCTAGGCAGTTGCAAAACGATCTGGTAAAGAAATTGCCTGCAAATAGTGGTGATGTGAGTGAATTTAAGGCCAGCAAAGGCTGGTTTGAGTGATTTAAGAACAGTACTGGCATACACAGTGTGGTAAGGAATGGTGAGGCTGCCAGTTCGGACCACAAGGCGGCTGAAAAATATGTGCATGAATTCCAGGAGTACATAGAGGCTGAAGGACTGAAACCTGAACAAGTGTTCAATTGTGACGAAACAGGCCTCTTTTGGAAGAAAATGCCAAAGAGGACGTTCATTACACAAGAGGAAAAGGCAATGCCAGGACACAAGCCTATGAAAGACAGGCTGACGCTAATGTTCTGTGCTAATGCTAGTGGGGATTTCAAAGTGAAGCCATTACTAGTGTACCATTCTGAAAATCCCAGTGTTCAAGAAAAACAATGTTATGAAGAGTAAATTGTGTGTGTTTTGGAAATCTAATAGTAAGGCATGGGCCACGAGGGAAATTTTCGTCAAGTGGTTCAATGAAGTGTTTGGCCCTAGTGTGAAGGAGTATCTCCTGGAAAAGAAATTGGATCTCAAGTGCCTGCTAGTAATGGACAATGCACCTGCTCATCCTCCAAACTTGGATGACCTATTTTTGAGGAGTTTGGGTTCATCACAGTAAAGTTTTTTTGCCCTGAATACCCTCCTTTTCCTCCAACCCAAGGACCAGCAGGTTATTGCAAACTTTAAAAAACTCTACACAAAAGCAATGTTTCACAGGTCCTTGACTGTGACCACAGACACTCACTTAACCCTAAGGGAATTTTGGAGAGAACACTTCAGCATCCTCCATTGAAATAACCCTTATAGGTATGGCTTGGGAGGGAGTGACTACCAGACTTTGAACTCTGCCTGGAGAAAATTGTGGCCAGATTGTGTTGACAAAGGGGATTTTGAAGGATTTGGGACTGACCCTAATGAGCCAATGTCTGTTGTAAAATCAATTTGTGGCACTGGGGAGTTCCAGGGGGTTGGATGTGATTTTTTGGAGGATGGGGAAGAATTGGTGGAAGCCCACAATGAAGAGCTCACCACTGAGGAGCTGCAAAACTTCAGCAGGAAACAGCAACAGTCACAACTCAAAATCTTTCTGCAGAGGGGAAGAGAGAGGGAAAGAAGGTGCCTTCTTCAGAAATTAAAGAGATTTTTACTATGTGGGGGTAAGATGGAAAGCTTTATGGAGAAACATCACCCTAACAAGGTTGTTGCAAGCCAGGTTGGCAACATGTACAGGACAAAGTCTTGGGCCATTTTAGGGAAGTGTTAAAGAGACGCCAGAAACAGAGCTCTCTCCACAGTTATTTTGCGAGACAGGACTCCAGTGACTCTCAAGGTGGTCCTAGTGGCATTAAGAAACAGAGAAGAGAAGCAACCCCAGAAAAGCAAATGGTACCTGAGGTGTTGATGGAAGGGGATTCCCCTTCCAAACTATAAACAATCCACTCTCTCTCCTCCTGCAGTCTCCCATACACTAAGAAGAATCTCCAATAAAGGTAAGTGTTATGCTGCTAATGTTTCATTCATCATTTCCCATTGTATTGTTTATATACTACATGTATATTTCATGTAAAAATTTTTTTTGTTTTAATAATACTTCTGGGTGTCAGGAACGGATTAATTGTATTTACATTATTTCTTATGGGGAAAATTGATTCGTAAATTGTAAATTTCGTTTATAGTAACAGCTCCAGGAACGGATTAATTACGAAAAACGAGGGACCACTGTATATATACATGTACGTCTTATGAGCCACTGTTTCGGATGTATTAATACGCATAAATTCTAGCAGCTTCAAATCAAGCAAGAGAAAGCTGGTAGGCCCACATGTGAGAGAATGGGTCTGTGTGGTTAGTGTGCACCACAAAAAAATCCTGCAGCACGCGGTGCATAATTAAAAAAAATAACTGGCCTTTATTTTTATTAAAACGCCGACTTTGAGGTGTATTTTCGTATAGTATTTATCATTGTATTCTCGTTTTCATGGTCTCACGTGATAAAATGGGAAACACATTACAGAAATAAAGATGATTTTTATTAGTTTCACGATGAAAACGACCTTGATAGTGAGCTCAAAGTAGCGAAAATGTTCGATTTTTACCAATGTTTCGGAGTAAGCAAA